TTCGTACATATACGGTCACCATCTATGCCGTTGATGCAGATCTCTAAGCCAAATTGTTAGTTTTATTACGCTTTTCACCAGCTCCTGCAGAGAAACAAGCTTTAACAATTGGCGGGGTGAATAAAATTTACCCGCCTTAACCTTCTTCGTGTTTTTCCAATATTCGGCGCAGATCATGCCTATTCACCTTTGAAACACCGGAAAGATACGGTTGCTGCTAGAACACCTTTTGCGTTCCTTTCTCGAAGATGAAGTACAAAACTGCTAAAGGCAGCTAAGCACATAATATAAAAATGACAAATTATGGAACTTGGTGTATTTTATGGACATTGTCAATTGTCCATGACAATTGAAAACGACTATCACATGTAAGATTGTCTTTAAAGGCAATGGCTACCATTGTTGAAAGCGTACACCCATTTTAGTAAGTCCATTTTTGGTCATTGATGGAAAGTTCTTTAAGTAAAGAAAAAAGGCGGGAAAATATAACGAGTAAAAAGATACGGACACAAATGTTCGAAGAGTAGAAAGTGACGTTATCCAATGGATAGATCTATATCCGGTGTAAAGCCCAATACTTTTCACTAACACCAAACAACTTCATATCGATTTATCCGTTGGAGAGCGTTATCCGCTCACTGAACGACCTGGCCGAAGTGTTTTTCCTTTTTGAGCCAAGTTGACATCTTAACCCAACAGCACGTAAGTCTGAGAAAATGAACAAAAACTGAAAACAAATCCCCAGTGATACCAAGGTCAATCATGATGACTTGTAACAAAAATCCGGAGATATCATTTGAAATCTCGAACAAGATTTATGTGGAGAAATCGTACACATATAATCTCTTTTTTAAATTAGTTCAGCATTGGGTTAAATCATTAAAAGAAGATAAGTACATGCCGATAAGCTGACCTAAAGACTCAGTACGATTTTTAATTACAAAATCCGCTTTTCCTGCATTTATCATCAAAGCTCACGAATGGCCACATTTCTCTTCGTGTGTTTGTCAGAAAGTATATTGGTTACATTGTTTTTGTTTACTTCTCCTATGTGGATACCATGATCTCGATCGCGAGCTGTATTTGTCGAAATTCTCCAGCGAATAAAGCGAGTCAGGTCAAATGTATTGATCAGCCACAACATTTTTCAGTGTGGCAACCAAAACTCAGTTCATGGTAAACTTCGTATCTGCTAATGCTTCTTGTTAAAATCAGACAAAAACATAGCTGCATAATATCGGTGTAAAAGTGTACGTAAAACCTACCCTAACTTTAAAAATTTTCTGGGGGAGCAATCACATCTCCTCCCCCGAAAAAGAGAAAGATCAGTATTGATTTGTTTTGGCGTAGCTTGCCAAAAACCAAGGTTTCTGATCCTTTTAATTCACCTGAAGACGGGAGTTATACCTTCAAAATATCACGATAATTAACATCTGGATCATTTTCGCATTTCATCACCGCTACTACGCTACGCCACAAACCTATTGTAGGTCATCAAAATAGTCAAATTCTGCTATATATATAT